CGCCCCTTCGAGTGGGGAGTCAGTTTGTTCCTCTTGTTAAAGAGAGTCACCCTAGGTTGAGGACTAAGGCGATCAGGGTCATGGGGACCAGAGCTACGAGGTCTGGGGAGAATTGGCCGAATATGTTTTTTAGTTTCAGGTTCATACTTTTAAGGGGTGTGAGGTGGTTTGGGCTTTGACTTTAGTCGGCTTTTCTATTGGAGGTGTGCTAAGCAAAGCAGTGAAGACTATAAGTAATGTTATTCATCTAATTAAGAATTTAAACAATCATCAGGCTAGATTTAGTTGTGGCATCTCTCTGGTAGTGGGTGGACTTCCACTTTTATTCAAGTCAAGAGTTTGATGCTTCCGTATTAGCTTACCAGAGATTCCGTTAAGAAGTTAGATACTCATGTTTCGAATGAGGAAAATTTTGTGGTCTCAATGACTATGGGCATAAATCTATGGTTTGCCCCGCAAATCTCTGAGCATTGGCCATAGAATATGCCGCACCGGGAAATGAAGAATTTTACTTGGTTTAGTCGTCCTGGTACCGCATCCATCTTTACTCCGAGGGAAGGGATCGCCCAGGAGTGGAGGACGTCTGCAGAGGATACCAATACTCGGATTGGCGTTTGGGCGGGGAGTATCAGTCGTTTATCCACTTCTAGTAAGCGGGGCATACCAGAGGAAAGGTCTGAAGTGGGAATCATGTATGAATCAAATTCTAATTCACGGTAGTCTGCGTATTCGTATCTCCAGTATCATTGGTGTCCTATCGCCTTTATGGTGAGGAAGGGGTTTTTTACCTCGTCCATGAGGTAGAGGAGCTGGAGGGAGGGAAGTGCGATGAATATAAGGATAATAGCGGGAATGATTGTTCATATGGTTTCTAGTCCTTGCCCCTCTAAAAAGAACCGGTTTGTTCTGGAGGAGAATAGGAGTGATGCTAACCCGTAGAAGACTAGTATTGTGATTAGGGTAAGAATGATTAGAGTGTAATCATGAAAATAGATTAGTTCTTCCATTAGGGGGGAAGATGCGTCTTGTAATCCTAGTTGGGTTCAATTTGCCATTTATTGTTGTAAGATATTCAGTGCTATGACTAAGTCTGATTTGTGAGTTCGTGAAAGCGCTACCATAAGGGAAAGGCCGGCCCTTGCTTCGCAGGCAGAAAGAGTAAGAAGGATAAGGTTTTTCGCTACGAAGAGGTTGGTTCCGGTTTTTAGTGCCCATATCGTCATTCTTAGGAACAGCGATATTAGGAGAAGTTCAAGGCAGAGGAGGATAGACAAGAAGTGTAGCCGATTAATTAATATACCTAGTAATCCTAGGTAGAATATGGATATGGTGCTAATAAAGATAGGTGTAATAAAAGGATTTCAGGGTGTAACTGAAGTTTTTTGAGTCGAAGTCAAATGTTTTTGTTAAACTAATCCTCATACTTAATTAAGTATATGGTTGCCGGAATTTCGTCGAAGGTGTGATGGGAGGGGGGAAAGGAAGAGTATTGTCATTCTAGTGAGGAGGGTGCGAATTCGGGTCGAACAGTGGTTCGCTGGGAAGTGAAGGCTTCCCAAATGATAAATAGGAATATCAGTGTTGCTACGAGGGATATGGTGCTGCCTATGGATGAGATAGTATTCCAAAGGGTATAGGCGTCCGGGTAGTCGGAGTATCGTCGTGGCATACCTGCTAATCCTAGGAAGTGTTGGGGGAAAAAGGTGAGGTTTACTCCTATGAACATTAATGCGAAGTGGATCTTCCCCCATAGGGGGTGTAGTCCTACTCCAGAAAAGAGAGGGAATCAGTGTGTGAATCCTGCGAAAATAGCAAACACTGCACCCATTGATAGGACATAGTGGAAGTGGGCGACTACGTAATAGGTGTCGTGGAGGATGACATCGATGGATGATTTTGCTAGGATTACGCCTGTCAGTCCCCCAATGGTAAATAAGAATACAAATCCTAGGGCTCAAAGCAGTGGTGTATCTCATCGGAGGTTCCTGCCTTGTAGCGTTGCCATTCACCTGAAGACCTTGATTCCTGTGGGTACGGCTATTATCATTGTTGCAGCTGTGAAGTATGCCCGAGTGTCTACGTCCATACCGACTGTAAACATGTGGTGAGCTCACACTAGAAACCCTAAAATCCCAATAGACACAATAGCGTAGACCATACCTAGGTAGCCAAAAGGTTCTCTCTTACCTGAATAGTGAGCGATTACGTGGGATATCATTCCAAATCCTGGAAGTATAAGAATGTACACCTCTGGATGCCCAAAGAATCAGAAAAGGTGCTGGAATAAAATAGGGTCTCCTCCCCCCGCGGGGTCAAAGAAGGTTGTGTTTACGTTTCGGTCGGTGAGAAGCATTGTTATAGCTCCAGCTAGAACGGGAAGGGAAAGGAGTAGCAGAAATGCTGTTACGAATACTGATCAGACGAATAGTGGTAGACGGTCGAACGAGATTCCTGGGGTCCGCATGTTTATTACAGTAGTGATGAATTTTATGGAGGCCAGGATAGAGGATGCTCCTGCAAGGTGGAGTGAGAATATTGCAAGGTCCACTGATCCTCCGGCGTGGGCTAGGCCGCTAGATAATGGAGGGTAGATGGTTCATCCGGTTCCAGCGCCTCTTTCTACTCCGGCTGATGCTAGGAGTAGTAGAAAAGAGGGGGGTACTAGTCAAAAGCTCATGTTGTTCATTCGGGGGAAGGCCATATCGGGTGCTCCGATCATTAGAGGGATCAGTCAGTTACCGAATCCTCCGATCATAATTGGCATTACCATGAAGAATATCATTACTAAAGCGTGAGCTGTAACTATTACGTTGTATATTTGGTCGTCTTGGAGGAGTGAGCCTGGTTGGGCTAGTTCTGTTCGTATTATTACTCTCATGGCTGTTCCAACCATTCCTGCTCAGGCCCCAAATATTAGATATAGTGTCCCGATGTCCTTGTGTTTTGTTGAAAAAAATCATCGCCTTAGTTGCATGGTTTATAATTTCATTATATATAGGTTAAACAGAAAATAGTTTAGTCAAGAATGGTAGCTTTGGGAGTTGCTGGTATAGGTGTAGAGTCCTATTTTTCTGACTAGAAAGATAAGGGTTGAACTTATGTTGAAGAAATCAAAATTCTTTGTTTTACCTATTAAACTACTTTCTATTTGGGTCGTAGCCTAATGGAAAGGCAATTGGCCGTTAACCAGGAGATAACAAGATCAATACTTGTCGACTCAGGTTAGGGTAGCAAAGTGGTTACTGCGCTAGATTTAGGATCTAATATCGAAGGTTCGAGTCCTTCTCCTAGCTTGTGAATTCTAAGGTTTAAACTTAGAGTTTTTAAGTGCAAGTCAAATGTTTTTGTTAAACTAAATTCACTAATAAGGGGTTTAAGTTAATTGAAAACTAATAGCCTTCAAAGCTTTAAATAAAAATGAGAGTTTTTTAACCCCTGGGTTTTGTAGTGTAATTAACATTTTAGATTGCAAATCTATAGACGCGGGTAATATCCGCCAGAACTTTCAAGGTAATCTGGTTTGCACAGATATCTTCTCCGTGTAAAAGAGATGCTTGGTCAAGCTCTACCTAGGAAAATAGTAAGTAAAGTAAGCTAATAGAAGCTTTTGGGTTCATACCTCAAAAATGGAAGGATAGATACCTCCCTTTATTTTCAAAGAGCGCTGGATTATTAGCCAGCAATTCCAGTCTGACATTCTGGTGTTATCAGTTTAACTAGCCCTTTGGCGAGATGGCAGAGGTTAATGTAGTGGATTGTAAATCCAATAAGGAGGGTTTGAGTCCTTCTCTCGCCAGGTTTCACGAGTACATCAGTATTCTTGGCTTCCAACTAAGGGGTCCCTGCTTGCAATCAGGGGTGAAGCATGTCAGATAATTCTTATATATAGAAATAGCTAAAGTAGCAAAGCGGTAATGCAAGAAATCTAAGGTTTCTCTATCGAAGGTTCAAGTCCTTTCTTTAGTTGTGGATGGGTTAGTTTTTATTGTTAAATCAGTTGTTTTTATAATTCCGGTGTTGTTAGCAGTGGCTTTGTTAACTTTAGTAGAGCGGAAGGTTCTTGGTTATATGCAGTTTCGTAAGGGGCCTAATGTAGTGGGGCCGTTTGGTCTGTTGCAACCTTTAGCAGACGGGTTCAAGTTGCTTATAAAGGAGACTTTAAAGCCTTCTAAAGCTTCGCCTTATTTGTTTTTTTTGTCCCCCATTCTCTTTTTAAGGATTGCGCTTTTTTTGTGGTCACTTATTCCAGTTGGTTTTTGTGTGCTGGAAGTTAAACTATCGCTCGTTTTGGTGATGGGGTTGTCTAGGCTATCTGTTTATGCTTTGTTAGGGTCGGGTTGGGCATCTAATTCAAATTATTCCTTTTTAGGAGCTGTTCGGGCTGTTGCTCAAACGGTCTCTTACGAGATAAGTCTAGGGCTGATTTTGTTAGGGGTGGTGGTATTTTCGGGAGGCTTTAGCCTTAGGGTGATTGAAAAAAGTCAGGGAGGTTCCTGGTTGGTCTTTTGTTGTTCACCTCTGTTTGTAGTCTGATTTGTTTCTACTTTGGCAGAGACAAATCGTGCTCCTTTTGATCTAACGGAGGGGGAGTCAGAGATTGTTTCAGGGTATAAAGTAGAATATGCTGGGGGGCCTTTTGCTATGTTCTTTATAGCAGAATACGGGAAAATAATTTTTATGAACCTTCTTTCGGTGGTCTTGTTTTTTGGGGGTTCAAGCCCCTTTGGGGGTGTTTTTCCTATGGGGGTTCTGATAGTGAGGGTTAAGACTGTATTTCTGGTTGTTCTGTTTTTATGGGTTCGGGCGTCTTACCCACGGTTTCGGTATGATCATTTGATGTATTTAACTTGGAAGAAGTATTTACCCTTCAGTTTGGGGGTGTTGGTATTTTATAGGGTGTTGCTGGTTTCCGTTGATATTTTGCCTCCCAGCTTGGTTTTGGTATAGAACCTGCTCCCTAAAGTAGGGGTTCCTAGCTGATAATTAGGTTGCTGAAGGTTAAACTCCTTCCAGGTTTTATGCATCGTAGGGTTTTTATCGTGTTGGTTATTAGTGTGGTACTTGGAACTTTTATTGTCTTAAGAAGTCATCACTGGTTTACCTTGTGGGTGGGGTTGGAGGTGAATACTTTGTCTATTTTACCTATTTTATGTGGAGGGTTTTTACCTCGAAAGGTAGAGTCGTCGGTAAAGTATTTTTTGGTACAGTCCGTGAGGGCTGCTGTCATACTGAACGTTGTTGTTATCCAAGCTTGGTTTAGTTCCTCGTGGCTAGTCGATCAACCCTTACTTAGGGTTTCTTCCGTGCTGATTACCTTGGCCGTGGGGCTTAAGTTAGGGCTCTTTCCATGTCACTATTGGTTCCCAGATGTTGTTCAGGGGGTTGGCTTTCTGGAGGGTTTGGTTTTGTCAACTTGACAGAAGTTGGCTCCCTTTTCTGTCTTGGTGTATGTAATTAATAGCGTAGACATTCGGGCGTTGGTCTGTTTGGGTGTCCTTTCTGTGTTGATAGGTGGGTGAGGTGGTTTGAATCAGACGCAGGTGCGAAAGATCTTGGCTTTTTCATCGGTAGCACATATGGGGTGGATCTGTTCGACCGTGGGGTATTCTGTTAATGCCGGTTGCATTATGTTGTTGGTTTATGTAATTACTAATTCTAGGGTGTTTTTGATTGCGAGAGAGTTTGATTTAAAGACCTTATCCCATGTAGGTCGGCTCTCGTACTTTAGTCTTGGGGGGAGTGCCGGCATGGTGTTGGGTGTACTTTCCTTGGGGGGTTTGCCTCCTCTTTTTGGCTTTCTGATAAAGTTCGTTTCTCTTAAGTGTCTTCTTGAGAGGGGTAGTATTCTGGCGAGGGGCTTTTTAGTCGCAGGAAGTTTGCTTAGTTTGTTTTATTACCTCCGCGTGTCCTTTAAAAGGAGTTTGGTACTGTTTCCTCAACATTCTTTAGTTCTCTTTGGTTGGCGGGGGCTGCTGGGTGGAAAATCAGGTGCTGTTACGGTTCGTGGTTTGGTTCTTTGCGGGGGTTTAAGGGTAAGTTTGCTGGGTCTGGTGAGTCTTCCTGTGTTCGCTTCTTTGCTGTAGATTTTATACGGAATAATTAGATTTTTAAAGACTAGCCTTGTAAGGGTGAGGGAATAATAAAACTGTGATGTTTTAAGTTTACCAAAATATTGATAGTTTGGGACAAGCAGGAGTAGTAGGTTATCAGTGAAACTCGTAGTAAGAGCTAAAGGGGTAGTACCGTGAGGGAAAGTTGAAATATCGTGAAATATCTAAGAGTAGGAAAGAAAGAGTAAAGTCCTGTACCTTTTGTATGATGGTTCGGTGAGTATTTTGGTAAAGAGTTGCCGTACCCGAATTTGAGCGAGCTAGTGTACTCTCCTTGTGAGGAGAAGGCTTTTACTGTTGCAATAGTAAGGTTTGAGGGTACATTAGATGTGAAATGTTTATCGTGCTCAACGATAGCTGGTTTCCCCGGAAATTGGTGTTAGCCATGTTTGTTTGGCTATTAAGGTTGTGTTATCACATGGATAATGATTAAATCCTTAATGGGAATTCAAAGCGTAGACAAGGAGGGATAAGCTTTCTTGTCAAGGAGGTAAAAGCCTGAGTCATGGGTTAAAAATGCGCAGGGAAACACGTTAATTGGGTCTCGATTAGTGGTAGG